TCCCCTTCCCCAGGCACTCATTGACCCCTCAGGAGAATATGGGACATTTCCGGCCCGGAGTGGCCGTGTAACACAGATATTCCCTGTGTCGCCCCACTCCAGTTCGTGGCTGAGAGCCCCAGGCGGGCAGTGGCTGGCCTCCATTCTGGGGGGCTGCACCCTCCCTCCCATTTGCCGAGGCACTCCAGACCCTTCTCTCACCAGCCAGCCTGACCCTGAGGCAACTCCTCTCCGTGTCGGTGTCATTTGCTCCCCGTGGCCTTGACCCGGCTAGGGCGGCTTAACCCACACTGGACGGTTGCGGTGTCTGACTGTCGCTTCCCGGAGGTGTCTGAGCGTGCCAGGGGCCCCTCCCAGGAAAACTCTCCAGAGCAGCCCCGAGGGCTCCACCTGGGCGGTCCACGTGGGACTCGGGACACCTCGGCCCTGGGTAGGGGAGAGGTTTTCCCTGACCCCTCTCCGCAGCCAGGCTGTCCCAGCGTCCGTCTCCGTCGGCTTCCCGCGCAGCCGTTCTTCATGAGGCCACCCGAGGGAGCTTTTAAACATGCAAGTCTGGTCCTGTCCTTTCCCTTCTTAAAACTCTTCAGTGGCCTCCTTTCACGTTAGAATTAAATTTTAAATCTGACCGTGTCCTACCAGACCCTGCATGGGCTCACCTCTGCCCTTGCCTCCTCCCTGCGTGCTCCTCCTCACTGCCCTCTGGCCGTGGGTAGGGGGGCGGGAGGAGGCTGCAGACACCCCGCTAAGCCAGGAGCTTTCCAGAGGGCCTTTCAGGGGGCCCTGGTCCTCAGCGCGGCAGGCCTCCCCACTCTGCTCGGTGACGCTCGGTGACTCCTGTCCCCGCAGGGCTCTGCGTGGGCCGGTCCTCGGAGACAGCTGTGTATCGCCCTGTGCCAGCGCCAACTTTCTCCCTCGTCATTCTTGCTTGACGTTTTCTCTTCTTCTCTGTGGAGCTTAACACAGTTTTAATTAAACGTTGTGTGTATTTGTATTTTTTAAAGATTTTACTTATGAGGGCACCTGCGTGGCTCAGTCAGTTGAACCTCTGCCTGCAGCTCAGGTCCTGGTCCCACCCCAGGTTGGGCTCCCGGCTCGGGGAGAGAGCACCAGCTCCATGTCTGAGCTGCACACTGAGACCCAAGGCTCCCACAAGAGCCCCCCTAGCGCCCCTCAGACGTAGGGGTGCACACACAGGTACTTTGGTCCATCTTTTGGAGGCGAATGCAGGAAAGGGGCTAGTACAAGTCCCAGATTCCCATCTACACAGGGAATTCCAGGATTCTGGATTCCTGGAGCATGTTCTAGAAAGGCAAGAGAGAGCTCCAGGTGGAGGGGGCTCAGCTCCATGCCCGTGGGGAGCGTCCCTGCACTGTGCACCCAGGGCAGTGACCCCCTTGCCTGGGTGCAAGGGGGTTACTCTCTGTGCTCACAGCCTCTGAGAACAACTGGACAGGGATGGGACTGGCAGACATCCTGCTCTACCTGTCCTTGTCACACACAAGCCCCAGAAGAAGGGACTCTCCAGGAACAGCTACCCCGAGTTGGCTGGGGCTCTAGCGGCTGACTCCTGCCTTCCTTCGGTGTGCAGCTCCCTCTTGTATGAGTCCTAGGTGAGCGCTCTACATCTCGTCCCTTTTGTGTTCTACCAGGAGGGGAGCCTAGGGATAGACACCTGCCAGCCTGGGAACACAGGGAGCCCACACCCTGATGCCGCTCTAGGACACCTACCCCAGGAATCCCCCGGCCTTACCTTCTTCAGTCCCTGTCCAGTGAAGCTTTGCTCCCAGCCAGAGTCTCTGTCCCTTTCTCGGCTTCCTTCAGGGACCTGCCTGGCCTTCCCTGGGGACAAAGTTCTCATAGGCCGGGAGATGACTTGAGCACAGGCTGGAGGCCGTATTACCATTGTTAGCACATTGCTTCCCCCATAGGCTGTGAGCTCTTTGGGGACGGGAGTGGGGATTCCACTATTCAGACTTGTTGGAAACCCAGTGAGTGCTGGGGCGCCGGGGGGCAGCGGGTGAGTGGACAACACTGACTGAATGGACACCTACGCACATTTCCTTCCCTACCTATGCCAGTTCAAACTTTTATCCTTGATTTTGTTAAACCAATACCCCTTCTGACAAGATGTTTTGCAACCCTCCTCCATCCCCTGGAGGGAGGATTCTTGACCCCAGCTAAGCTGATCAACCTAGATCTGCTTGTTGGGAATTTTAACCTCCAGGGAGCCATGGGGGAACAGAAACAGAACAGATTTATTCCATGGTGGCCCTGAGGAGGTTGTCCCAAAGCCACCTGGCTGTGTCCTGGTTCCTTGGTGTTTTCTTTGGTTCTCAAATGTTATGCACTGAATATTTGTGTCCCCCTCAAGTTCATAGGCTGAAAACTCGTTCCCAAAGTGATGGTATTTGGAGGTGGGACCTTTGTGAGGAGACGAGGTCCCAAGGTGGAGCCCCATGAGTGGGGGGAGTGCCCTTAGAAAAGAGACCCCAGAGAGCTCCCTCACCCCTTCTGCCCCATGAGGACATAGTGGGAAGCTGGGTGTCTGTCCATGAACCAGGAAACAGGCTCTCACCAGACACCGAACCAGCCAGCGCCTTGACCTTAGACTTCCCAGCCTCCAGAACCACGAGCAATAAACGTCTGTGGTTTATAATTTGCCCAGATGCCGGTATTCTTTTACAGCAGCCTGAACTGACAAGGACCCTGAGCTACTTACAACTTTCTGAACATTTCCTTCTCCTGCTTTAGCTAAAACCAGAGTTGGTTTCTGTTCCTTGCATCCGAAGAACTCTGAGGCCAGGGTTTTCACTTTATTCTTAGATATTCCGAAGAACAGGATCGTTCCAGCAGCCAAAGGTGTGAGATTGACTTACTTGGCTGAAGTCCTGCTGTTCCACGCATCCTTGGCCGCAACCTTCCTCCTTTCTGCCGACCTCGCCTTCTTTTCAGCTCTGATGCCTCCCCCGAGCTGCACACTGAGGGCAGGGCAGAGGAAAGGAGGCTGGAAGAAGTCTCGTTTGCAGGAAGCTGGCGTGTTTCCCACACACGAGTCGACTCCGTTCATTGGCCTCCTTTATTCCATGCTCCACTCATTCTTTCCATCCGCCCTTTATAATTCGTTTGTGATGTGGGGAGGATCTTAGGGTTGTCTAGGGCAGGAATGGCTAATAGGTTTCGTCTTGACTCCCAACCTCAATTAATTGGCCCGAGTCATTTGAGCGTCGTGCTGCCTGTGGACTCCGTGGGAAGAATGCGTCATCATTACTGCTGCATGCCCGACAGGGTTCCGGAGGGCGGGGGTCTGTGTGCACGTACTGCATGTTTGTCATTCCTGAGCTAACGCAACTCCCCACCTGATAGGAAAAGTCTCTCGTCTGCAACTGCTCTGAGATGGTTTCAGCTTCAGCACGTTCACTGAAGCTGCTCGCCTCGTGTGGGCCTTCCTCCGTTTGTCGGAAGTCCTCCCTGGCGGTATAGGGTACAGGGGGCAGGGCTGGGTGGACGAGATAAACCTCCAGCTAACTCCGCTTCTGCCACCGACCAGTTACGTAATTCTGGGGAGGAACAGTTTCTCTGGGCCTTGGCTTCCCGCCTGAGAAACGAAGAACTTGAACTGAGAAACCACAAGATTCCCTTCCAGCTGTAAGATCCTATTACTCGTGTGAGTCATCGTCTGCCTCTCAGGGCCCCCTTCCAGGGGCCTCCGTTGTACATCCTGGCGGTGCGAGAGCCCTTCAGACCACGGGGGACCTTCCGAGTCCTTTGTCGTAGGCTCCGTACGACCGGTTTCTTTAATCGTTTTTTCACAGGATGAGGTCTCTAGACTTTTCTCCATGTGAGTCATTCTCTTCTCGACCCTTGAGCTTCCCAGTGGCTTGTGGTGCGGTGGGCGTATCCCTGCCACTTGCCATGTGCTCGGCCTGCTCCCCCATCCCTGGCAGATGGGACCCACGAGGACCATGGCACAGCCCGAGGGGAGGCACCCGCTGAAACCTTCCCGGGTCTGGGGGTGGGGGTGCGGCGCGGCTCTGGAGGCCTCCCCTCATGCTGCAGCAGCAAAGCTGTGGGGAGCCGCGGAGTCAGACCTGGAAGGAGACGGTGCTTGCCCTGAAGACCAGTTACTGACCAAGGGCTGATTAACCGAACAGGTGCTGCTTCTGAACAAAGATGGGAGGAAGGTTTCCCAGAGATGTCGTTTGCCAAAAAAATTTTTTAAAAGATTATTTACTTATTTGAGAGAGATTGTGTGAGCAGAAGCAGGGGGGAGGGGCCGAGGGACACCCCGCCGGGCAGGGAGCCCGATGCGAGGCTCCATTCCAGGACCCTGAGATCATGACCTGAGCTGAAGGCAGAGGCTTTAACCCACTGAGCCACCAGGCGTCCCTACGAAAAAAAAGTTTTTAAACAAGGCCCTGGGTATTCCTGTCTCTACTGATGAAAACAAACACGTCCGTCTCACCCTTGCCTTTTGCTATGCCCCCTCTCCATTCTCGCTGGCGTCACGTCTCGTGACCCCGACACCCTAGCCACTCTTGCTTTCATGCTTTGCACAGAAGGACAGGTACAAAGGCTCGTGTTCAAGGAAAATTTAACAAAAACAGAGAAAAGCAAAAACAGAGGGACAGGGTTCTGGTCTGACCATGAGCCAGCTGGAAACAATGGTGGAAAGGTCGTCACGGGAGGAATCTGACTCCCAAACAGACAGGGGTGCTCCTGGCTACGCTAAGCCCAGGGACGTGTGCTGTGAAGACCCCAGGGTCCCACGTGTGGTGGCCCCAGGCCCCCACTCGGATCCTCCCCATTGCACTCTCCCCCACCATGCCCTCTCTGTTTTCACCCAGCCAGCCTGGCCTCCACTCTATTTTTTTTAAAATTTTTTATTAAGATATAATGTATTATTAGCCGCAGGGGTACAGGTCCACTCTATTTTTTGAAAATAGTAACCGTGCTCCCCCTCCGGGGCCTTCTCACCTTCTGGTCTCCAGGCTAATCCCCCCACAAATCCCACAGTTCTCTCCACTCGCCTATCTGAGACGGGCTCCCTCTCCCCGACACATTATTCTCTAGACTTTTACTCTGCTTTCTCTCCTTACGAGAACCCATCAAATCTGACACATGCTTCCTTGCCTATTGCGTTCCCAGCATATAAACTCCATGAAGGAAGGACATTGCTTCACTCACTTCTGGTTCCTCAGGGCCTCAAGCTGGACCCAGCGCATGCCGAACCGTCCATCGATACTTGTTCTGTGCGAACTTCACACCATCAATCCCAGTGCTTGCCACACACACTGCTCTCTCAGAAGTCTTCTGAGTTTTCTGATGGGGGGGGGGGTTCATTAGTCTAGTACTTGACAAGTGAATCACGAGGGATGGGAATATCAATGTATTCCAGCAGCATGGATCCGTTTAAAAAGCCCGGGTGTGCCGCCCCGTCAAACCACTTAATAAGGTCACTAAGAGGGAACTCGTGAAGGGAGAAATGTAGGTCCCATTCCATCCAGAACTGCTCTGATCTGAGGTGGGGCCCAGGAGACGAAGGGAAGGAAGGAAGGAGTTACCGTGTGTGTGTGTTTCCCCACATAGTCACCACGGCTCCTTGCTGGATCCCTGGCTTTCTCTTTCACATCATTTTTAGGGACTGAGGACAGCTTTGCATAAGATGTCAGTGGCCACAGGGAAAGCCTCCAGGTGACAGGAGGAGGCAACACCAGTTGCCAGGTTGGGAGGTCCTGTGCATTGTACAGGAGGACTTGGGGGAAGGTGAGGGGAGAGAGTGGGCACAGGTAAGGCAGGAGGAAAAGACAAAGCCTGGAGACCAGTTGTGGACCTCTGAGCAGAGCCAGAAGGTAGGGAAATTCCAGAATGAGTTGAGTGGATGAGTGGGGTTGTGAATCTAGAGGCTGATTGTCTGACCATTTGACGAAGGTGAAGTGACTGCCCAGCTCCTGGGGGAAGGAGGGGGGATCCTTGCACAGGACTGACCTCATGGGCGGAGCGATGGAAACTGTCCCGGGAATATACCTCATAGCCTGCCTCTGTTTCTTCAAGGCCTCCTTCCTCTCTAGTACCAAGCCTTGAGGAAGGTCCCAGAAAAGAATCAGGTGGCACCTGGGTGGGAGTAACGGTGAACTCGCCAGCCACGAACCCCCAAGTAGAAGTTTCCAATGGCGAAGTCCCAGAGTTTTCCCAGACAGAACCACTTATTGGCCACATCACAGCTTTCATCCCACATGCTGTTCTGAGACAGTGACCTTGGCCGTCTTCACACTGAGTGGTGGAGCCTTTGTCTCTTCCCCTTGATCACGAGGGCATCTTCTGCTCTTGCATCTGAAAATGAGTGTAGCAGATTCTACCAGGCCTCTGCCCCTGTTCCCTCCGCACTTGTTTTCTGCTCAGCTGTTCTGGCTCCTCACCCTCTTGGCCTCAGGCAGAGGCCCTCAGGCTGAGCTGCTTTTCTTGAAGCCGTGCAAGAGCTTTCTGTTGGCTGCGGAAAATTTAATACCTCTTTGGTGGTCACTGTGCTGGAGAGAGCAGAGAGAACCTCAGATCCTGCAGGAGGCATGGTGGTCGGCAGAGATGGTGAAAACATCATTTGCAAGGTGTTACCTGCAAAATGGCACCCACCCCAACCAGGCTATGTCAACCATCTCTTGATTGTCTCTACCTGTGAATTACCCTTGAGGGGCCACGATGTCAGACGACCTGACAGTCCTTCATGCTGGAAAGAGAGTCCCTGTCCCCTGCCTCTCACCTTCACCTATTTCTAGATCTTTTCTTATGATAATGTCTCAAACATCAAGAAACATCAGGGTCTCAAACTACAGGGGCTGGGCTGGGGCCAGAGCTAGAAGTGGGGTGGTTCAGAGTTTCTCTGTTAGTTCAGATGTCTAGTGTCTTTTAGCGTCTGGGACCCAGACTGGAGGCAATCCTTTGGTGCCAATTAATACTTGCTTTGGTCTGCTAGGGCTGCTGTAACAAGATGTCACAGAATGAGTGGCTTCAACAACAAAAATTTATTTTCTCATAGTCTTGGATGCTAAAAGCACAAGACCAAGGTGTTAACAGGTTAAGTTTCTTCTGAGGCCTCTCTCCTTGGCTTGTAGATGTCTTCCTTCTCTCTGTGTCCTTCCATGGCCTTTTCTCTCTGTGTGCATCCCTAGTGTCTCTTCCTGTTTTACAAGGACACCAGTCATAAGGGATTAGGGCCCATCCCAATGACCTCATGTAATTTTAATCTTCTCTTTGAAGTCCGATTTCCAAATACAGTCCTATTCTGAGAGATGGGGGATTAGGACTTCAACAAATGGACTTTGAGGAGACAACTTCTGCCTGCAACAGTACTTCATGAACCGTGGTGGGGGTGGTGAATGCCTGGGACCATCAACGTCGCTGTGGATCCTGGAAAACTTCAAGTGTCTTTGAGGGGATGGTCTGTTATCTTGCCCGAAGCAGAGCCAGGAGCGGGGTGGAAGCAGGGATGGGGTTGGGGGGGGATGTGGAAGGTTGTGCTAGTGTTTTCTGTTGGGCAGCTCCCAGTGCAATAGCTGTCTAGAGGTGGTGGGACAGAAGTCTCAGTGGAAGCACAAGGCCCATGGTGGTTTCTGGACACCAGTGTGTTCCAGAGTATCATGTGCTTGGGCAGTGGGCTTCCTGATGGTCCAGGCAAGAGTTTATGTCCTCCTTCATCCAGACCCTACACAAGGGGGTTCTCTGTCTCTGGAGTCACTCTGTCATTACAGACGTCCTTCTGCTTTTTCCCTGGCAAAGAGATCAGAAAGTTACCCAATGATATCTGGACTCATAGCATCCTTGGCTTGGCCTGAAGCCATCCCAGACAGCCTAGGGTGGATATCTCCACAAAGCCCAGGTCTGTGGGGTGTTTCTGTCAGGGCAGGACATCCTGAGGTTGAGGGAAGGGCTAAGCAGGAGGGCCGGTTCAGAATCCAGCCACACCTCTGAGTTTCCCCTGCTCTCTTCTCCTTGAGAAGGAGGCCTCATTAACCCCTAGCCAGAAAGTTTCTTCCTTCAGAGGCATTTCCTAGGAATGGTAGGCAAGAGTGGGTTGGGATTCATCTAGACTTCCACTCAGCAAACCTTTATCTGTACCAGCGTTGTTCCAGGAACCATTGCTAGTTGCCTGGTGGGGTGGTAAGGCAGCCTTTAAGGGGTGGAGAATTCAGTGGGAGAGTAAGTGCAGTGAACGCTGTGCCTAGGGTAGGCAATGGAGATTAAAGGAAGAACACCCACTCTGCCCAGACCAGGGGAGGAGGTCAGGAAGGCTTCCTGGAGCTGGTGTCCCTTGGAGATTGTGGAGGAGATAGTCACATGAAGCGGGGGATTGGGTGGGAAACCATGGAAAGGGTGTTCCAGACAGAGATAATGGCATGTGCAAAAGCCTGAAGAAATATGTAAGACAAGAGTTCATTTGAAGAACTGCAAATGAGGCTTCATGTAGATCAGTCTGATTGGACACCAGAGTATGAGTCAGGAAATGTGTTGGCAGAGGTAAGGAGGGCAGACCATCTGAAGCCTAAAATGGAGGAGGTCCAACCATGTTCTCCTCCTCCGCAGATCCCCCACCTCCACACACCTCTGGCACCTGCAGGACTCCTACCTGAGTAGCAGGAGTGCCAGGCAGAGAGGAGACCAGCCAGGGTCAAGAGCAGGGAGATGGGCACCACCACCAGCAGCACATCTTTGTAGGAGGAATTTCCTGGGGCTGGATACGGAGGGGGCGGGTCAGAGAGGGGCTTGATTCTTCACAATCCCTCCACCACTGACCCCAGGCCTTTGGCATACCTGCCTCATGATGGCAGCTCTCCCAAGGGGTGACAGTGGCCAAGTCCCAGCTGACAGGGTTAGAGACAATGCAGGAATAGGTCGTGCTCTTGTCTCCTGGTCCCAGTGAAACCCTCAGCACCTGTCCATCCGTGAAGAGGTCGCTTGGCTCCATACCAAAGTCAATGGTCCCTTCCCGTCGCCAGCTATAGGTTATATCACTGATGTTGGGGGCCCAACAGGACAGGAACACCTGGCAGGTCTTGGGTGGCTGAGCCTCTCCTGGTACAGCGATGAATACTTGTACCACGGGTCTGGGCACCACATCTAGACAAGAACAGTAGAGCGGGCATGGGTTACAGTGATGCTGGGAAGGGCATCTCGTGCCAGCCCTGGGATCCATGCAGGGTTAGAGGTCACCTCTGACCAGCTTACTCTTGCTCCAGAACATAGTCTGGCTTCCCATTGCCCACAGGACAGAGGCTGAATTCCTTAGTCTGGTATTCAAAATCCTTCATGACATAGTTGATGTCAACCTCTGTAGCTGTAACCTCCTGCTGGTCTTACTCACCTACCCTGATTAATTTCCTGTTCTCCCAAGCACGCCATACTTTCCCATATCCTGGGCACTTTCATCTGGCTCAGCTGTGCACGTATGTCTTTGTCTTCTCTTCCTCCTAGGAAACTCTTACCAACCCTTCAAGACCCAGCTTGAGCACATAGCTTGCTTTTCTGATCATGAAGCCTTCCCTGACACCGCAGGCTTGGAAGACTCCAAAACTCTGTCTGTCATTTGTCTTAGCACTTTCCTCATGACATATCAGGCAGACAGGTGATAGGCATCTATTAAATCAGGCAAGAAGACAAACACATTCCTGGATTATTAGAGCTTTCAGTTTGGTGAAGAAGACAGGTGCTGACAAGTGACTGAATAATTAAGGAAATAATTACAAGGGTGCAAACTGCGGGGGAGACCAGGGGGTAGGGGCTCTGTTTCGTTATGTTCATAACCCAGCTCTCTAGGTGCTCAGCCACCTGGACCGGTGAACAAACTGGAGTCTTGGCCTCCCCGGCAGAGGCTCGCCTTTTCTGTATAGGTTGATGAGTAAATCCCGAGTCTCTGTGGCAATGGGGGCCAGCGGGAGAGCATTCTGGTGACAAAGGGAGGGCTCTGTCTCTGACAGCATTCCAGAGTCAAGCAGAGTAAAACCTCATTAATGCCAGCTCAAGCTGGTGGGATTTGTGATATGGAAAAGGAAAGATTTGCTGGGCACCCTAATAGTATAAACAAAGATTACCGTGTGTGTATGTGGGGGGGATATTTACACTACTTAGGAGGACAAGCTGCTTCCAAACACTATCAGGCACAGTAGAAACACCCTTTGACATTTCTAGCAACTGATCTGCTAATTCAAATCATTCTTATCTATTGTCAAAGCAGAGCTCCCAAGGACGGCTGCTGGCAGCGTCGTGCAATTAGTTCTAATCATGCTATGTATTTGGAAGCAATAAAACAGCAATTTCCTTAAAATCTGTAATTCAGACGCTGAGAACAAGGCATTTGAGAGCTTAGTGGTGTGGGTGCTGCGCGTGTTATCCCATTCAATGTCCTCATTTCACACGTGCAGCGGCTGAGACTCAGAGTAGGAAGAGGCTCCAGGGCTGCCTGTATGGTTGTGGAGGTTATTCACTGCACAAGGGCCCTGGGCTAAGGGGATAACCAGTGAGGGTGGGGCTGCTGAAATCCAGCCAGTGCTCCGCCTGCCAAGCCGTGCAACTGGGTTCAGGGCTGCATGCATCCAGGACACACGAATAATGGCAAGCTGGCATCCTGAGTGGCTCACAGACAACCCTCTAGCTGTCCCTGGGTTCGTGGTGGGGGTGGTTGGGGTCCTCTCTCCTTCCCCGTTTCCTGACTTTCTCTCCCTCACTGTCTTCCTCTTCCTAGCTGTCACCCCTACTTTTCATTCTTTTTTTTTTTTAAAGATTTTATTTATTTATTTGACAGAGATCACAAGTAGACAGAGAGGCAGGCAGAGAGAGAGAGACAGAGGAGGAAGCAGGCTCCCCGCCGAGCAGAGAGCCTGATGTGGGGCTCGATCACAGGACCCTGGGATCATGACCTGAGCTGAAGGCAGAGGCTTTAACCCACTGAGCCACCCAGGTGCCCCCCTACTTTTCATTCTTAACAGTGGACCTTTTTCTCCCCATTGCCCTACCAAATTTCTGAGGTTTTACTGAAATAGTGATTTGGGGGTACCTCACATTCTTTTTCCAAGCCATTAGACAGATAAATGAGAGCTAAAAGGCCATTTTTTTTTTCTTGATCAGCAACAAATATGGTGGAAGGGGAGGCAGTAGAGGTGGGGATAGAGGTGGTGATGGTAGAGATGGTGGACATAGACGTGATGGTGGTGGAGGTGA